TTTATTTTGCATTCCAATTTGTTATAAAAAGACCACTTTTATATTACATTTCATTTATTTAATTATCGCTCAGATGCACTATATATGTTGCTCAACATAAAATGTCTAAACTAGTATCTTCATTGCAATTATATTCAAGAACTGTTAAAATTGGGAATGTATTGACAAGTTAAACTGTATTAGAGCGATTTAATTAAAATTTAATTTCTTTTCTTTACAAACTTTTACAATGCAAAGAAAACTTTTGTATAAAGCTGCTTTCAATGTGCCTTTCCTTATCTATCAAGTTTTGACAACACAATTTGATCTCATTATATAAGATAGCATTCATAAATATCTGTTCGCCAATTTCTACATTGAAGAAATCTTACATGTTCGATAGAAATGAGTTTCAATTCTTGGATTTCACAAATATATCACATTACAAGAACAACGCAAGAATTAACTACCAAAAAGATGACTGCAAAACATATTTACAAACATTTACGACGATAACAACTTTTCTTAAAAAAAAAATGCAAGCAATTCTAACTACACTAATGATCCCGACTATTTTACAACTCAATGAATATAATACCTAAAATCTGAAGAAGGAGTAGAATTAGAAGTCTCAAAATAAATGTCTTCATATCTGCAAAGAAAAAAATATCTATGATAAGGTGTATATACTTACATTTGCTAATCGTTTTTAACTAGAGAGAAAGAGAGAGAGAGAGTACATTACCAAATAAAATCTCAATTATTTTTTTTTTTCAATTCCTCATGGTTTTATTTCCGATTGGAAAATATCACAAAGACCTTCATATTTCGTATGATTTCAAAGCTGTTCAAAACTCGCCAGGAGCCGGCCGTATATTTGCACGCAATGTCGCCTGAATGCACGATGTTAAATTTCATGAGGAAATTGACCATATATGAAACGTCTGAAAAAAGAGAATACATACCCTTTTAAGCTATTATTCTTAATTTAAAAACTAACCTCTAAAGTCAATCATGATTTGTTTTCAATTCCATCAGACTAGTACAGATTCAAAAAGTATTTCTTTGTATATTTCCTAACATATATGTTGAAATAATTAATGCAAAAAGGAAACAGGAAATATCACCTCATCACACCAATCTGTTGAAATGTGTTTTTTTTTAATTCTTCCTAAATAGCATATTGACAATACGGAAATTTGAAAATACAAACGATAAAGATGAGTACAAAAAAGAACGTCGGATACACGAAATTTATTAAATGTTATTTTTAATCTAATATGAAATGGCGAAATCGTGTATGACTGCATTAAAACTTTCGTTCTAATATTTTTGCAATTTATTTACTGCAAATATATTGATATTGGTTGGATTTGAATACGTACACCTATTGTTGCATAATATGCTTGAATAAATATTGTTTATGTACACATGATACTACAAATTTCTGTTATAAATAAAACGATTATTTTTTTATATATTATTTTTAAGGCTGTTACATGTCTATTCAACTCAAAATGTATGTTTTAGAAAAAATTAACTATTGCCGTTAGCTTATACGTTGACCGTGGATTCGTTTTCTGGAATATTAAATGAACTCATCAAATTATATTCCGTTGTTTCCGTTGTGTGCCTTATTTCAGTAAGTTTGAATTGGCTAATTTACTGATTTCTGTTCACTAAAGGAATTAATTTAAAAACTTACCTCTAACTGAATTCTGTTATGTGTGCCTGTCATCATATTGATGAAACCTCTCGGCTATTAATGGGTTGAATTTTAGATGTGTATTATATATGTAGGACTCTTAAGTGCGATGGTAACGGGAATGGGGTTCAGGGAATAGTTTTTCGTCTATTGAATTGTTAATAAATCATGCCGTTGTCTTTCTATTTTGAATTGTTTTACACTAGTCATTGCGGTGTCCTATATAGCTTGCTATGCGACTAGAACCAAGGCTCCAAGTCGAAGGTCATAATGTTATTAGGTGCATACATTAACGACATCTGGTCTTTGATGGATAGTTGTTTCAGTGACAATTACAACACATCTTCTTATTTGTTTTTTGTTTTTTTGTTTTTGTTTTTGGTTTTTTGTTTTGTATATAAATCAATCCGTTACTTTTCTAGTTTTAATTGTTTTACACTGGTCGTTTTTATACCCTTTGGTCTTTATAGAATACTATCTGCGGAGTTAGCCAAACGGTAACCTATAGTTGATAACATTAATGACATTTAGTCTTGTCCCAAGCCGACAAAGTTGAATTTGGTTGAAAGTCTATACGTCAGCGGGATAAAAGGTTTGCCATTCTGTAACTGTGGATGATTGTTTGTGAAATAACTCCTCCGGATACAAATTCTTCTAGCACCGACCAAAAATGTTCCTAATTGGGAAATTTCTTTCTTTTTTCTTTCTTTTCTTCTTGTCTATTAAAAAACCTTCCAGATCTGCACATTTCTGTTTGTACAAACGGCTTGTAACGTCATAATTTCGATAATTAATGTTTCTTCATCGATGTTAGGAATCGAAACGGTATTTGGAAGGCCATACAATTTACCTCAATATATATATATATATATATATATAGAAGTCTATAAAAAGGACCAACCAGCAAATTTACTATGTACCGGATCGTCTAAATCGATGCGAATGGACTTGAAAAGCGGGATTTTACTGCATTTTACCTGACACAATTGCAGTGAAAAAAATGTACAAATTTGGGATGAACCCTTTTCAAATGCAACTATTTCAGTCATTAAAAGATTCGATAACTTTGCTTGGTACTGGATTATATTACTTTATTGGCTGGTCCCTGATGTTAAGGGACATATCTAGCTTCTTATAATTTTCAGTTAGAAGCGCTTTTAATGAGACTTTTTCATACACATACAACATAAATATGATAGAAGAAGAAGTTTTAAGATCTTTTAAGACACGTCCAGCAAATGGAACAAAGGTTAATAAAAAAAGATAAAGCTTCTGGATGATGTCTGTTTCATAAGATTTGTGGTGAAGATCTGATAAGAAGATTTTAGCTCCTTCTGATACAAGATATTTTCTTGATAATCCTTTTTATTATTAGATAGCCATAAATAGCTATATTTCATGAATGCTGTTAACTTTGAAATAAAACATGTATAGTGCAAAAAAAATATTTCGGATTTGATAACACGTTGTAATTTCTTTTCTCTAATAAAAATCCATAGATCTTATCGCTATTTGGGAATATGCGCCGTTTGACCCGAGCATCTGCGCCTCTTGAACTATTGACGTCATACAGCATTCACTTTTCCTTTGTTGCGTCAGATGTTTTCTATTATGACGTAAAAATTTTACGGGAACCTTTGTTATAACCAGTAATGGCTATAAGGTGTATTGGATCTGTATCCGTATTTGTATTTGCATATAAATGTCAAAGATACAAATTTTAAAATTCGTTTAACAGGCAGAAAGATATAAGACAGAAAAATGATAAAAGTCGCCATTAAAGGACAATAACTCTAATAAGGAGTCAAGTGATGATTACATCCATGCTTTGCTGTCCATTTTTGCCATATAAAGTTTCTGTCTCTCTATTATAGTTTTTGAAGATAACGTGGACAATAAATCCAAAAGACAACTTACAGTTTTGAAGCAATCTCAATTCATCATTCTGAACATTTTTGTCCACCCAGATTTTCTCTATCTACAGCAGTTTTTAAAATAATAGACAAAAAAAAACTTGCATTTTACCTCTATGTTCTATTAATAGCCATGTCGACTATGCTTGCTGAAAGGCGGGGTCGTCGGACACACTATTATTTTTGTATAATGTTTTCTTTTGATCCATTAATTTATCAGTTGTCTGTTAATTCTTGTGATTTTCCATGTGTATCTTTATCTCCTGTTATCAATTGATGCGTGAAGCATCGATATTTAATCGAGCGTGTATAATTCAACGACTGGATAAATACACGATAACTGGATCTTATATTAAACAAGTCAGATTTAGTGAGAGGGATAAGGTGTCAGAGCAATGGTAGGCGGTGTTTCTGTAGAAGGTAGAAGTGAAAAGAACAAGTTCCAGTCTCCGGTAGGGGAGGAAGTACAGAATAGGATATACTTTAACATTGTTATGTTGATTTTCTGGACACTTTATGAGTATATACATATACAACTACAATTGCTGTCTCCTAGACAAAATATGCACCATTAAAAACTTAAAATCAGATTAAAATCGCCACACAATACTTCCATTTTTTAGACTAAAAAGTTTTAAAAGTAGAAAGCTGCATCAAAACTCATTTTGACAAAGCACAGACTACTCAGTGGTCAAAAGAAAAGTGATTAAATATACGTCATTTAATAATATCTATTACAAGAGTCTGCATGCTGGGTGCATTGAACCCTAGTGGCTGTAATAACCGTTATCACATGATCTGGTAAACTTGAAACCGACATGAAAATTGGCGTTGACGGATATTATTGTTTTTAAAATCCACAATTCTTGTAAAACTGAATAAGTTAGAAGTTTCACAAACTCTATTCATAGTATTATATGGCATCTTTTCATTTCACCGATATGTATTGATTTGATAAGGACAATGTTGCACTTAGAGTGTTGTGTAAGTGTGATTTTATGCGTGTCCATTTTCATTATACTTTTATGTCGGATCCAATCTGAAAATCAATTAGTAAGACTTTCCGGACAGGGTCAACATATATTACTTCACGACATTGTCATAACATTTTACGAATACAATATATTATTGAAGTTAACAAGAAGATTATTATTTCTTTTTCAATATTTACTTTGTTTATCATTGTATGAATAAACAATTTATATAAAAATTCTTAAAATGTTACAAACAGATGTTTACTATTTTTATCTGTTTATTTATTACTGAATTGTAAGTATGTAGTAACCTTTCTGATAATTGTGAGACTATAACTAACCAAATCTGACAAATATTAATTTTTTTTGTTACATTTAATAATAACAATTTATCATTATAAAATTACAAATAATCACAATAATGCAAAACTATTTATACGTGCTCATGTTCAAATTATATACATATATTTATATACATACAAAATATAAGATTTACAAAATATACATACATCTTGTATCATAAGTATAATGTGTGAATATAGAAAATTAAGGGAAGCACACATTTATAAAGTGTTCTTTTCATTTAAATCTTCAATAATTGTTAAGTAACATATCTAACAGTAATAACTAGTGGAAAATATCAAATTGGTTACTTCACTAACTTTTGATTATCCTTATTGAAAGTTGATACTTCAAAATATAACAATGCGTTGCAGCATAATGGGACAAATGATTTTTGTGTGTTTTATGCTGTGCATGTACTGATTTTGTGTCATTGATGGATACCAAATATTCTGCATTTTTCTATTATAACAAAAACGTCATTTTGAGAGAAGAGATTTATGCAGTTATTCAAATTATCAACAGCAAATATAACCCAATTTCTTAGATGTAAACCTGTCATATGTTCTAATAAAAAAAAAGACCGAATAAACATCGTTTCAATTTCGGATGGGGCTTGCATAATGTATGGAAAGCATACACTACAATTCACATCAGTTATCCCAATTAATCTATTATTTTTTTCTCTGTAGTTTTATAACTAAATGTATGTGTTGCTAATTGAAAAATGATATAAAGAAATCAATGTGCACTAGATGATATTTCTCTTTAAGGCAATCTAGATACAAATATGAAAAAAGTGCACATGCTGAAAAGTCTCGCCTGCTGTGCTGACCATGATTGATTTAATGTTTAAAGTTTTTAAACAAAATTTGTACTGCAAGTATCGAACAATTGTAACATAATCATTGGTCGATTACAATTATGTAAAGGTCCGACAAACCCTGGAAGACATACATGTATACCTTAAAATCATGTAACACACCAAATATAGTTGACCTTTTGCTTTTAGTATCAAAGAAACAAACCAAACTGTGAAAACTGAACATTGACTAATGATCCATGAAAATGAGGTCAATGTCGGATGATACATGCAAGACTGACATGTACTCATTACAGTAATTCCATACACCATATACAGTTGACCTAACTGCTTATAGTATCTGAGATACGGATATCATCACATAATTTTAATCTTCAAGAGTGATCCATGACATGTGGTCGCGGTCAGCTGATCCTTGTGTGACAGACATGTATACATTGCAAGGAACTTATCAACCAAATATGGTTGTCCTATCACTCATAGAACGTGCAAAATTCACATGACTAAACAACTTTTAAATTTTACATGCAGTCGGTGCACAATGAAAATGTGGTCAAAGACCATGTACATATAACAGACGGACATTTTGTAACAAAAGGTATCTGCATACAAGATGTGATGCATATAGGTCTTTTACTTAATGAAATATATAAACTTGATCCAAAACTAGTTACAACACCGCCGCAGGATAGTAATCCCTATGTCTCGCATTCTGCGGTTTTCGTCGTAGGCGAGACATAAACTAAAACGTATACGTAATAAGTGGTGCTTAAAACAAAACACACCAACATAATTTACAAAACTTATTCAAGGTAACTAGTTGTGTGAGTTAACACATTATTTTCCATGAATAATATGCAAAATAGTCACCTGAGAATTGAGCAAATGAAAATGTCAATTAAAAGATAATTTAATGCAATCTACAAGCTGTGGTAAATTCTAAATAATTAAACACTGTTTTCAGTGAAATCTTTTATAAACTTTATTCCGGAATGCAGATGTTTACTGTTTGCAAATATAATTCAATGAGATAAAAAAAAAAAAAACCACCAAAAATAAAAAAAAAAACAATATCTGACATTTCCTTTTTTAAACCAAACATGAAATTTTTAGTACAATGAGATCAACAATATAAGACACAGCACAACACACGTTTAAGTGTGCATATTAATGAATAGGAATTAACAAATATATTAAACTTATATCATTTTTAAAAATAAATATCATACTACTGACTTATTAATGACTTCTTTTATATAATAATAATAAAAACCAAATGTTTGATTAAAAGAGTAAACATAGTTAGGAACAACAAACAAATATTCCCTGAGGTCATAACATACGAATTACAATTCAATAAAATACAGATATGAACATGTAGTTAAGTTTGCAATCACAGAATTCAATTTACCCAAACAGTAATAAGGTACATTTAGCAAAAATATATAATATACAAATCAAAATACTTGTTCACGCAATACATTGTATAAAACAGAAACTTATTTGGACTGTGTCAAATTCTTATTAATGCTTTGTTTAAAAGTAAAAGTGAACTTTACACATTTTTTTATCGTAGTCAATTCATGGATCTGATCAAGATAACCAAAATATTTATTAAACAGCTCAGCTTTTAGCCTAGAAACTATCATAGAAATATGTTGGCATAAAACAGGGTTAACAACTGGGCAAAGCTCACTCTTGAATAACGACGATTTATGGTAACATTCAATATATATCTCAGAGTCAATATCCCTCATTTGGCATGCTGTGTACTACATTTACTATACATGTCGAAAACATAGGTAGTATTTGACACATTTTTTGGATCTTAATGGGAAAGTTTTGATTTTCGATGTTTTCTTTTTACCGATGTTCAAGTCTTTCGTTCTCTTCAGATTCTTCATCTATTCTGATTTCTATATAATAACTATCACTCTGGTGTGTATCCGTCTTATTATTGATTTCTTTAGCTAAAAAAAAAAACAACAGCAATGAAATCAGAAAATATTTCCTTAAAATCTTTAAGAAAAATACTGGGTACTGACATCTAGTTCAGAACCAATAAAAGTTAATAATAAAAATCATGTCTCCAAGACAAAAATTTAATTCAGTACACATCCAATATCCAATGGATTTAGTGCAGAAATATAGTTATCGTGAAAGTGAATATGTGTATCACTAATGAGTACTTTCATATTGATTTAAACACTATAACACTTAAATGCATTCTGATCTTAAAATTCATTAGAGTACTTGTTCATTTGAATGAAATATTCATACAAGGGAAAAACAATGAATTAAAAACTGTTTTCCAGGCAGCTTAAGTAAGTGTTTTTCACTTGTTTGTACATTCATCCGAAATTAGTTTTGCATTAAAAATGTAACGTATTTTCTGGCGAAATTAGTCTTATACGTAAATGATTGTCAAGAAACCTTCATAAACTTACAAAATTTTCACAAGGCCAGTAAATTATGAACATAACATCTTGGAAACGTGGCATTAGATCAATAAATGTTCATTATAGAATAAAGTTTATTTATAAGAAACTATGTCCTTCACGACATACTTGAGGGTTCATAATTTGAGATTTCATATGATCCCTCGAACACAAATCTTATTTTAATATTTAAGTATCAAATCACTCGAAATGCTTACTTATCAAAATCAAACAGAAACAGCGACGATAAATGACGATCGTGTGATATAATTCACTTTCACAGATGAAGTACAACCAGCAAAATTTCGCAATATTATTTGATACTACATAAAGAATTTCTATAATCATTTGATAATGTACATACCATTTTCTGTTTTCTTTATTTTACAGATTACCAATGAGATAATTATTATAATCAGTGTAAGGGGAATGAATGTAACCAGTAATATAAAGTATAATTCTTTGGATGGATTTTCTGAAAAGATTGACACAACATGTATGCAGAAATTATGAATTATGCAGTCACATTTTTTAATAACAATAAATATAATTATTCTGAATTAAACATAACTTATCAAATATAGAACAATTAAGCTGATAGTTAGCTAACCAAGTGCATACAGTTAAATTCTCATTGTTTGTTACAATCACGAAAAACAAATCATCCTATTTGTATCAAAAGTTTTTTGTATTTGGAATAATGTTACTATTAATATTCAATTTGAAGCAAATATACCGGAAGTCTTTAATGCATTTTATGTCACAGAAACAAAATTAAAATGAAATCTAACACTCAATAAGCTGTACATGTATATAGTATACAGTACATATAAATGTAGGACTCAGAGGTGCGATAGGGACGCTGAAGTGCGGTGGTCACGCTGAATGGCGATGGTTTGCGCCAACGTGTGATGGTCCGTTCGCTGATGTGTGATGGTCTATTTAAAGGGTGATCGCTAGGTGAAAGTTAACAAGTGTGCAAGTATTATGAGCAGAATTTTTGTTTCATAGTTAGTAAATAATCTTGCATTCGTTATTGACTATGAATGTAATCGGGTACAGTAGTATATTAAATGGGAGATCGTCCTCTTTCATTTTCTGCATGTGGACATAATTATGCGTTAACATTTATCCTTACTGTGTTCCTCTAATAAGATCCTCGTTTGTTGTCACAGAAGATTAACTTTCCCATCTCCCCCATTCACACCCCGTAGTATTAAAATTTACTTTTAATTAGCCCCTTATTAACTCAAAAAAACTTATACTAGTAAATGAACACAAAGCATCAAAAGCATGACGTTTCGGTTATTTGACTATTACATAATAATCTCTTTTTTTATTTTACATCATTTGAAATATACAAGGAGTTTCCCTAAAAATGCAGCATGAACGTTATGACATTTAAACAAACTTTTCAAGAACACAAAATATCTGAAACCTTAAAAGTTTAAGAAAATTATATATTGACTTTTAAGAAAACAAAACAATCCACCAACAAAGTTCAGATGAAGAATGACTGCACCCTGCCCAATTGTGACATTCTGACTGATTTTGGATTCGGATGACCACTGATGCATGTATAACCTGACAGTTTTACCTGTCTATGCATTCGACCTAGCTCCTTGTGAGGATCATGCGATTCCCTTATTTTTTGTTTGGTCTTCTTAATCAATTTTTGAGATTTAAACATAGGTAAACTACTGTTACTTATATTTACACCCAATTACTCTTATGGATACTCGTCTCTTATTGGTAATCATACCAAATCTCCTTATTTTTTATATGCATGTACAAAATTTAATTGTTGAAATTTCAATTACAATATAGCTGAAAATCAAACCATACCACGAACTCGTAACATTGATCATGGCCAATGCACCATAAATATGCGATATAGGTCAGATCAACCCTTACTGACAGACATTTAAATATTACACACATTCTCCACACAAATTATAGTTCACCTGCTACATGTACCTAGCATAACTAATAGCATTTGTGAAACCGACCTAATTAAAAATTTAGAATGGAAATAAGGAATATGGCAAATAGACTACAAACCGACCAAAGCGCAGATAACAGCCAAAAGCCACCAATGGGTCTTCAAGGCAGCGAGAAAATCCTGCAACCTGAAGTGGGCCTCAGCTGGCCACTAAATAAAAATGTGTACTAGTTCAGTGAAAATGAACGTCATACTTAATACCAAAACATATGAAACAATGAACTTAAATTAAAAAAAACCCATACAAGACTAACAAAGGCCAGAGGCTCCTGACTAGGGACATGCGCAAAAATGCGGCGGGGTTAAACATGTTTTGTAGGATCTCAACCCTCCCCTATAGCTCTAGCCAGTGTAGAATAAACACACAGCAATACGCACAGTCAAGCTCAGTTTAAAAGAAGTTCGAGTCCGATGTCAGAATAGGTAACAAAAGAAAGTAAGTAAAATCACAATGATACATATATTCACAAAGGACTACTAGCAGTTACTTACAAGCCAGCTCTATACCTCAATTAAACTGATCTGAAGATTATGTCTTCATCATATCAATGTCAAGCACAATTCCTCCCGTTAGGGGTTTAGCATCATACCATCATAAATATATAAGAAGAACATAACCCATATCATGCCAACAACTGGTTTTAGAATAAACGTGTTTATTTTCGATGCAAAGACCCTATAAGTGAATCAATGTAAAGGCCAAAATATACCATCTTTAATGATCTGAAAACAGTATCGGCACTATATCCCTTCTTGACTAGTATGTTTAAAGATTTGTATAGTTGACCAACGAACTATGACAATAGAATGCTGTTTACCAAATCATTTTTTTTTTGTCAACCTGTTAACATTAAATTCATTTTCCGGATTTAAAAAAGTCAAACTCCAACATTACAGTTCTAAACATTTTTAAGAAACACTTAAAATATTAAAAAGTGATTATGGAAAGATACTGTGTTTCCATGAGTGACCACATTTTGTTTTTTACGGAGAAAAAGAACAATAAGTTCATTTCGACCATTCTTGTATTGATTAGAATGTTATAATTATAATCTTTACTGTACTACCATTGATTGACATAATAGTAAGCAGTATACTTGTGTAAATACCTTTTGAAAAGCATTTCCGGAGATCTTCATTTGAAATGATGTACTCTTTTATGAGTTTACATTTTACTATCACTTCCACATTGCAATGCGGTGTGTCTGCAGATTGGTGAATTAAATCCAACTCATAATAGTTTCCAAAGCTTTTAGATGATGTTAAGTTGAAGGATGAATTTGTACCCTGAAATATTTGGAATATTAAAATATACATGTATGCCTTGTCACTCTGTGACATGCTGATAGTGGACATATGAATGATGATCTAGATTTTTAGTCACTTCCTGACTATTTTTCCTTGGACTATGGTTCTTACTTGTAAGGCTGTTGTTTTGTAGATGTCTAAATTATGTCTCTTTTCTATGGGAAAGCAAATTTTTGTTCTTTCACCGGAACTCAAGTTTTGTTTTTCCTTCTAAATGGGTGTCACATATGTTTATATATGCAATAGTTAAATACAGATTATGTATTTGAGGTATAATATTGAATACTGTTATGTGAAAACCTCTGGTTTCTTGCATATGATACATATGACAATACAAATAGAAATATCAAGGTACTCTATAACTAATGAGCCTGTGTCGCTTACCTATAATCATATTCAACAACTGCCACTTTCGAACATGGTAGGCAAGAATAGAGTTCATGACAAAAATCTTTGTTTTGTTGATATTGTTTAACTGATCATTTAGTCCGTTTAGATTCTTACTCTCTTCTTTAAGGGCGATCACTCCTATAAAGAGTGAAAGTCTAGTTACTATATCGGGGAAATTTGACTTGTTAGTAGGTCTTCCTTATCAATTTTGCCTATTTAAGTTTCTATCTATCTATTGTAATTTGATATAAGGCAAAGCGCACACACTTGGTTAAAAATGTCATCAAAGGGCAATAACTTCTATGAGAAATCGTTTGACAGTATTGACGTAAAAGGACAATAGGTAGAGCTCAAAATTCTGAACATTTCTGCTCTGTCAAATTTAGTCTATTATTAAAGGTTTTAAAAACAATAGACAAAACTTGCATTTTACCCCTATGTTCTATTTAATTCATGTGGGCCATCTTAATTGGCGGGCGGGACACGGACACATTTTTGAAACTAGATACCTCAATGATGATTGTGGCCAAGTGTTGTTAAATTTTGCCTAGAAGTTTCTGAGAAGATTTTTGTAAAAGTTAACAGACGACGACGGACGACGAGGACGACGGACGCCAAGTGATGGGAAAAGCTCATTTGGACTTTTTAGCCAGGTGAGCTAAAAAGGCTACCCATTTCATCAACATGTAATTTCTATGAGTATTTAGGTAGCGATATTACAAGGTACTAAAAATTGAGAAAAAAAAATATAATAAAAATGTAATCAGGGCTTTATTTAGAGACTGAGTGAAAAAATAAAATCTTTTCATGAACAAATTTTATGTCAGACAAATTTTCTTTGAAGTTTTTTTTTATTTGCGGAGGCTTTTCATTCTCGTTTAAAAAAAAAGGGGATTATAATGAAAAAAACATGTATACAATGTACTTGTTCATGTTTTTAATCATTCAAAACATGTCGTGACTTAGGAGATATAGAGCGTAGCATACATGGATACCCATTTACCATTTACAATTTCCTTGAGTTGTCATGTCTGTATTTTACTAGATAAATAAAATTTTCTACTTTTCAACAGCAAATAAAAACCTCAATTCTTGTTTTTTAATGAAACCATCAGTCCTTCAATTGCAGAAAGCTTAATATTATGATAAAGAAAATGAGATACCTTGTTTTTCTGAGTATATAAATATAAAAAGAAAATGCGTTTTCAGGCTCCAACAGAAACGACAAGTTACTTTATAGAACATGTTTACATGTATATGTAATAACAGTTATTGTCAATGCCAAGAGTATCAGGATGTATTCTGGGTGTGACAGGTACTAAGTATTTGTCAACTTAAAACCCAATCCCCAATCATGTATATATCAAATAACCAATTATTGCAAATCATGCAATAAACATGATAAAGTAAATTGCTAATATACTGTAAAAAAAACTTGAAAATAGCATTTCCCTAATAATATGTAATTTTGCATCTTTTGGTAGATATGAAATGTTTATCAACTTAAAAAAGAACCAAAAAAACAAGATAAAACTTTTGTAGACGAAACGCGCGTCTGGCGTAAATATAAAATTTCAAGTCAAAATTGTACCATCAGAGAAGTGTACAACCATCTCTAGTAACATATACATAAATATGTATAAAAATGAATAATAAAATGAAATATAAACATGTTGACCTGATACATGTATATAAATCCTAATCAAATACAGGTACATACAGTTAAACAATTCTAAACATAGAATGAACTAAACCATCGTAATTAGAGATTAATTTTGGTAAACTGGATGTAGATTGAACAACCATAGGTATAATAGCCACTATGACTAATATAATATATCAATGGAAACGATTAGAGATTGATTGAAAATTAACAGGGAATGAGCAAAAACAATATTATATTGTGATGTGATATCATCATTATTCTTTTGTAATTACATCTGTAAGCTACAAAATAAAGACTGAACTCTGTTCAAACTATTTTGTCTTTTGTTTAAGATAATATATCAGATCTCAGGATGTTTTCACTGGAGTTGTGTCATTCAGGTAGTCCAAATAATTATGACGTCTTGAAAGGCTATCTGCGACGCCATAACGCTGAAGCCATTTATTCAGTTGGACTTTGAAATATAATTCACTGCTTTATTTACGCGTTTAGCTGATTTTCTTCAACATGCGCACTTTAGAAATATAAAATACTTTTTTACAAGCAAAAATGGCACACCGCTTTCCCTCCTCCCCACACACGGTAGGTCACCGGAAAATAACTATAGGATAGATAGCAGATTAAAATTTTGTTTATCAATGTTTTTCAAATTTGTTTTCGTATTTGTGGTCTATTAAGGCTTTTTAGACCTAAATGTTGGCTAACGTCAATCCGAAATACAAAATCTGAATACACTGTTAGATTCAGAATATTAAATGACACCATACATCTATCATTGTAATTCAAACGAATGCATATTTTGGTTAGATCAAATAAAATTTAATTTTGGACCTTAATGTTAACCAATTTGCAACCGTCCCAAAAATAAAAAAATCTAAATACAATGCACATTAAAGATCCCGAAGAATTTAAACCCCATTGCAATTGATAAATGAATAAACAGTGTATACATGGTATTAGAAAAGTATTGGTTTTGGCGCCTTTTTTAGGGCAATAACCTCCAAAATCCGTCCCAATCGTCCTTTTTTTTTTATATGAAACCCTGTGATACAATTTCACAGAGTATCACTGACTCATACTCAATCTGAGTTAGTACCGCCTCAAAGTGAGGTACTCAACTATAGACATTTTTTTTTCAAGAGAGGAATACTGTAGAATAAAGATGTAAAAACTTTGGAGTGTTTAAATGTTTGTAAAGAACTGAATTTCCAAATAACTTAACTGTGAAAATAAGAACTTATCAGTTTCTAAAGCGGCATCCAGTAATGCCTTTCTGGGTTGCCCAATTTGTGAAAAATTTAAGCTCACTTCGTTCACTGAAAATTTAAAAACATCGTTCTGTGAAAATGTCTCAGTTTCGAAACGAGCCATCATACATAAACAAGTATATGATACGGACAGAGGAATAATGGAACCTATGAGAAATGAGTTCCGTATCTTAACCAACCTATTGTCGGGGAACCAGAAAATCCTAGCGTTTTGTCCCTTTTTGGCCCCTAGCCATCTTTTTGATGTATGTAAACCTTGGGGTGCAATTTCATACAGTTCCAAACATTTAAACACAAATGCTTGTCCTGAAACAAGGAAAATGCTTGTTCTGGCACGTAATTTCTAAACTGTTAGGAAAATAACCCCCAAAATCAATCCCATCCTTCATATTATGGTATGGATCCTTGTGGTACAACTGCATAGAGATCCATAAACTAATACTCAAGTTATTGTGTGGAGACTAAAAGTCTTCGAACGACGATGACGAAGATGACGACGATGACAACTCCATACCCCATATACGACCAAAAATGTTTGCAGTCGTATAAAGATATAACATTATAGCATTTATTTCATGACTACACAATGTGGGATTGTATACCTGCTTCAAGCTGGAAACCATTGTTGAATGCTTTTCGTTGAAGGGAAACAAATCTTAACGTATAACAGATCAAGATACATACAAACAACTGTCATGTTAAAAAAAGAAGAAATCAAATGAAATGTTAGTAATCAAAAGTCAGCAAAAGTCTTTTGTTACTTTGTGAGTACTCTAGAAATCGAAACGTTGTTAAAACACCCATGCACATTAAAGTAGGATTGCTTAACTAACAATCCTCCTTCTTTTTTTTCTTTTCTTTTTTTTTGGAGAAAGGTGGTTATTACCAGGTTTTACAAGGCAAAAACCTCACAATTGAATGACTGTAACACTTCTATTATTTATATGAGTTTAATCTGTGTAAGCATTCAAAAAGGTACATTAGTGACAATATATTTTCAAACTAAACTGTATAAAATTCTCAACACAGCAAAACTTAAAAAGTGAATAGAAGCAAAAAATGTTTCCATCTGTCAGCTAAAATGTCATTCAATCTTGGTTTATCTGCATTATTTCAAGAAGCTACTAATTACAATATTTAAACAGATTGATAAACCTGACTATAATGTGCTATTAAACTTACCTCAACTAAAGCAGTACATCTTGGAAATGGGAATATTTTCATGAAATGCAGTTTTATAGTTAAAAGTCTATCTGATTCGTTTGTATGAACTATAGCTCTCACTTCATTTGCTGGAGGATCTAAAATCATCAGATAGTTAACTGGTGAGTGTTTTTTTCATTTGTTTACCTATCACATAGTTTAGATTTTTCATCTTACATGTATTTTTTTACGTGTTTGTCATTAATGAACATTTTTCACTTAACCTCAAATACATAAATACTAAAGTGCACAAGCTAAAATGGAACAACCAAAAAAGGTCTTTTCTTTTATTGATATATATATATATTATTTCGTCATTATTTCGTTGGTTTTTCTTCTTCTACAAATTGTTGTCCTGAGCACACAGTCTTTATTCTTGTATTCCTCAGTTACAGACATTTCATAAACTTGTATGGTAGATTGAAGCTTTTAATAAACAAAATA